ACATGCATTGTTGCGTCGGTGGAAGTCGCATCGCCTCCTACCGCTCTGGTCACATCACTTGCACGGAATATGCTGCTCTGTCTGTAAGTCAATTTCAACACACCCTTCTTCTGGGAGGGCGCATTGTTCTCCATCCTCTGGCCTTCTATGCTAAGCGTTACTTTGAAAGGGGCGGTTTTGAGGTGATCTGCAATTTAAAAGCGTCTGTGATTGTGTGAGTTGGATGTTTTGGTCGATCCACTAATCCATCCCCTTTGTCAATGTTGGACACAAGGTAGGAGGCGACTGAGAAGTAGTGTTGGCCGGAGTGGTTGACGACAGACCCAGTTCTTTGGCGGATCTCGTAAAGTGTACTTCTGATTGGTTGTAGGTTCCTTCTATGCCTTCTGCATGGCCCAAGTTCCCTCACTTTGGTGGAGGCAGAGGAATGCTTCAACTCGTGGACCTTTCCAGGTTCCCATGTGGCTGTCAGTGTCAAGCCTGCTTTCTTGACGATACAATTTGCACAAACAATAAGGAAGCCGCATTGGGTCTTTGACCTTCTGGACAGAACAAACGAAGTAAGGTTATAAATTGTCACGCTCGATTCATACTTTCTGCTTTCTACTGATTCCACTCCTGACTATGGCGACGGGTGAATTGTTTTGCATTACAGATTTAATTGTCTTCAATAAATGATTAATTATTGTGGTTAATGAAGTGAGCTTTTGCAAGTAGAAGCCATTTTATGTCACTAATGCAAAATTATACGCTTCCGCTGCTTCAAAAGGTAATCTCACACAATAAATGGGGAAGAAACAGCACCGTCTGTGTGGCTAAAAAGGCTTTCTACAATGGAACCGCAATAATGGCCATTCGCATTGCTGACTCAAAGCTGAGGATGGAACGATGTCCATTTATTGAGTTGCAGACTCGATCGGAATCACCAACTCGGTGTCGAGCATATCGAAGCAGTCCCAGCAATGCGCCCCTCAATCTCTTCGTTTTTAACAGGTATGTGTGACTCCTACCTCCTCCCCTTTTCCATATACGCAGCCTCAAATGTGCCAGTAAGTTGAATATGCGGTGCAGACTTCGGTGGGCTGCACTGCAAGCACTCAGTGGTGCCAATGACTTTAAGTCGACACATGGAAAGGAGGTGTAGCACCTTAAAAATTCCAAACCTTATACGGAGGCAGAACGGTGGAGCAGAATGTGCATTTGTACCATCAGCTAAAACTAAAAAAACCGATTCGCTTGGTGAAATTACAAAGACCCGATGCTAAGATGGCAAAATCGCAAAGCGGAAGGTGAAAAACAGAACCACGAGAACCATGTCGGCGCGGGAAAAGGTGTTGTTTTGGGTGCAACGTTGACCCTGTCTGTGGTTTAGCAACGCATTAGGCAAGGTGGATAAAATGATTAAAAATTCACACTGTCCACGTAAGGTGGACAATAAACGTATCCAACCTTTGTCAGAAGCAAGTAATCCTCCGACCCGATGTGTCGGATTTAGCACCACTTACATTAGATGCTTCAAGCTTTGCCTCAATGCCATCCAACATCTTCCATCCTTACCTAGAACTGCCCAAATGCAAGTGGAAGTAGGTGAAGGGCAGGACGGTTTCTGCTTTGACCGCCTTAGTCCAGGCACAACCTATCACCTCTGTGTGGCATCAAATGACTGCCTGAATGACTGGAATTGTGGCACCTTTACAACATTTCAAGAGACTTCTCAAAACACGTCTCTCTTTTCAATGAACGTGTATGTTGAGGGAGTTGATTCTGATTGGATCCAATTGAGTTGGCCACCTCCAAATGTAAGAACACCTGCCTCGCCACCGATTGGCTATGTCATCTCCGTTCGCAGGTATAGGGCGTGCTGGGAAAGGGCAGTGTTTGTGTCTGCGCCGTGGGTAAGGGTTGTCATGTCTTGCATCACTCCCGTCTACGTTGAACAACCCATTCATGCTGTCATTTCTGCTTCAGAGCACCGAACAGGAAAGCGTCTTCATACGCCACTCGGCTGAGAGGCTGGCATCTGCCCACAGCTGCAATGCCCGAAGAGTGAGTGTGGTGGAGGGACAAGTGGATGGGTATTGGCCCGACTTTCCAGGCTCGCGACGATACACTTGGGTTGAGGGCTGGAACCGTGCTGATGTGGACGAGCAGGGTCCGCTGGGCCTGTTTGCTGTCACAATGACAAATCTGCAAAGCAACACGCTCTACAACTTTGACGTCACACCGGTATTCTACCCCGACCTCAACGTTCCTCCGCAGAGCGCAAGTGTAGAAGCCAGAACAGCCTCGAGTAGTAGGTGGTGACTCTGTGCTTGAGTTGTAACTGTGGTTGTTGATGGGTTGGTCCAGGTTAATGGGTGAGTTAGGCTGAATAAGGAGGTGGCAAACCACCGACGTATGCCAGACTCTAGTGATGAACGAGTGTCTGAGCGTACGAGGATTTCTCCCGTTGATGTGGCGAGGGCACACAGTGACCACAAATGCACATCCTCCTTGCTTTTTCTTCTTAAGGTTCAAAAGTCTCGTTGACACAGAGA